GGGTGGGGGCACCCATACAGCAGCAGGGTGGCTAGGGGTCCGGGCTGGTGGTCACCTGTGGGTGCCCATGAGCTGTGGTGGCTTGGCTGCTGCTGCCAAGGGCTTGTCCAGACTTCCCAAGGGCTGTGCAAGAAGGTTTTGGGGTACCTCAGTTTGGACATCAGGGATCTAACCACGCATTTGATGGTCACATGAGGACAGTGATCACCTGAAAGTGTGTCTCCAGCCTGGAGTCTCTTCACTCACCCAAAAGTTGTAGGACACAAAGGTGGCTCTTTCTGCAGTGGGTTTTGGCCCTTTTCTAGAGGTGCCCAGCACGTGGCACCACAAACCAGCGCTGGGTGAGACAATGCTCCTGGTGGCTCTTGCAGAACCATTTTAACCACCGTGCATTGGCTGAGACCAGTTTCGTGTCAGTTTCTTGGCACAGCGTGCGGCCTGGGCAGGACAGCAGGGAGCTCTTTGTTTCTATGGAAACACTGGCACCATCGGCCAGGTAACTGTGTTGCTCCAGCCAAAAACTGACGAGAGTCAACCCCGAAGTGAAGCCAAGAGCTGGGTTGTGCCGAGGATGGCAGTCCCTGCAGCAGGGCAGTGAGTTATGGGTTTGTTCCCTGGTTATTCATGGCCCTGCCTTCGGATGGGAGGCTGCGCTGGGAGAGCGGAAGGATCTCTCCTCCCTGATCTGGAGCGGGTTGTTGGCAGTTGTGTTCTGCTGAGCTCCTCTTTGTGAATCAGCCACTCAGCTTAAAATCAAAATCAAAATCGGGGCGTTGCACGTGAGTAGCACAATTGATTTCTGTTCACATCTGGGAGCGTTAATCCTGTGAATGGCTGCTCCCGCTCCGCGATACTCGTTGGCACGGGGACCCCGAGCACGGCAAGATGACAGACACCAGCCTGCGAGTCCATGGAGAAATCCCCCAAAACTCCCTTGAACTCCAGGAAAACTCTTGTCAGCGTCAAGAGCAGTGCTGCTGGGTCATTCTTTGGACGCTTGTGTCTTGAATCCCCCGAAGAGCCTTTTCTGAGTTCGGGCAGTTTGGTGGCACACGGTGCAGTTGGGTGCCAGCTGCATTGTGCCTGTTCTGATAAAATAATCAAGCCTCGGCGAGGCTTTCCTGGCCAGCCTGTGCCCTCTAGTGGCACGCAGTCCTGATGGCAGTGCAATCTGCACGCTCCTTGCCATGAAAGTAACGTGTCAAGATGCTCCAGAGCGTTCACAGCGTGTTTATACCCTC